TGGGGAACGAAGTCCTCAGGTTGGAGAGTCGCAGTGGTGCTGCTGGAAGAAGACTGGGACGCGTCGCTCGGATGAAATACGGGAGCGTCGTCCTAATCGGACATCGGAGAATCCGGCACCGAAGCAGGATCTACATGGGAGGACAGATTAGCGCGAGCTCCGGAGAATGAAGGTTCCGACAATACGCACTCACCTGGAGAGTGCGCGCAAGCGTCGGCGGGACGATTGTGGTGGAACGGCCTCAAATCGGTTTGGCAGTTGAAGGGCAACGAGGATGGGGGCGACCCGGATCTGAGTCTGATCCTGGACGTCACTCAACCCGGTCCTCCGGTCAAGTGACTCCGGGTCCCGACCCGAAACCCGGCCCGGGTTTCATGAAACCCGAACCCGACCCCGAGTTCCAACAAAACCGGCCCAGACTTCGGTGAACCCAAGAACTAATATGGCCAGTTTCGGACCGGAACCGGGTGGTACGATGGTTAGGGTTGCAGTAATGTGTGATAGCCAACATAGGTATGCAGGAAGATAGTCAGTGTTAGGGAGATAGGCAGAGCAGAAATCAGTCCCAAATATTCTTGGTGGCACACAAGTGTTCCAAGTTTTCCTAGTCCTAGTCTTCTAGTCCTACGGAAAGCTCCCGTCGACTGGCAAGTAGAGCCGCCCCGATAAGTGCGGCTCCCAGTCGTCGGAAGTACTTTTGGTGTACTCAACATCCAACCCCGTGTCCGAAGTGAGGGATACGTTAAACGATACCACCACGGCGTCCCACGATAACCGGACGCCAAGTGTGAAGACCCGCGTCATCCCGAAAACGCTGCGCAAACCCCGTGGAACCGCCGGCCCGATAACGCCGCACGGCCACGAACAACCCCAACGACGGAAGACGAACAAGGTCCGACATCGTCAGTCAGAAGAGTGCGGAGTGAAGATCAGCTACGCCGTACCCAAGACCAACAACCGCTACACGGTTCGCCACCAAGCTTGACCAACGACTCTACCCAGAGATACGCTGCTCAAGATCCGGGAAAATACCCACGCCGCCACGAGATAACGCAGCGACGGGTTTGTGTGAGGGTGAAATCGCAAACTTTTGCGGGTGCGCTACTCCACAATATCAAGGCGGAAAATCGGACTGACATCAAGGATATCGAGCCGAAAACAGGAAATCCGAACTGTCAAACCCAGATCAAACTCGATCCCGGCGAATGATTCGACGTAAAATCCCCGATCCACCCGACCGAGGGCGTCGATCTACGAGATCCGTTGGCGGAATGAGCAGCAGCGACCACCCCACAGGATCCCCAGGACAATGAGGAGATATATTACCATGAGAGTGGGGATCTCTCAGCTGAAGATCTTGAGGGAAACGTTGCGGTCCACCCCAAAATCCCGATCTCGACGACCGCAAAGGTCAGCATCGAGGATCTGCAGGTGGGAGACTCCAGATCGGCCACACCTGAGGAGATCGAGAAGCTCCGGCAGATCATTTGGAAGAAGCGACACCCCCTGATCGGCAAAGGGAACACCCTACCTCCGGCGGCCAAGGGCGTCGTGTGTGACATCGATGTCGGGAATGCGAAACCGATTGCATTGCGAACTCGAAAAGTACCCACGCGATCTCGAGAAAAAGTCGCAGTCCTGATCAAGGACCTCCTGGAAGCCGAGATCATCCGACCGTCGACATCGCCATGGGCCTCGCCGATCGTGATTGTCCGCGAGAGTAACCGCGTAGATATAAGGTTATGCATCGACTACAAGCTGGTAAACAGCCTCACGAGGTTGATGGTCTACCCTATGCCCCTGATCAGCGATCTGGTAGAGAACATTGACAAGGAATTATGGTATTGCTCGCTGGATATGACCAGTGGCTTCTGGGTCATGGCGACGATGGATTGAGCTCGCGAGATCTCAGGATTTATCACCCCGTTTGGATTATTCGAATGGAGTCGCATGCTTTTTGGCCTGAAAAGTGCCCCACAGTTTTATCAACGCCTCGTAGATAACGCGCTGTATGGATTTCTGAAAATCTCGCGAACAAGCGACAACAGAGCTACGACGGACGTGTACCAGACAGGGATCGCGGACGATCCGGATCGTGGAGCAGTGTTGGGACGGAGATCATACATTGACGATATCATGATCGCAGCAGAATCGTGGGATCAAATGTTCTAAAGTGTGGAAAATCTGTTGGAGGCTTGCGATAAGTGGAATTTATCGATCGGTGTGGCGTTGAGCTTCTGGGGCATGGATAAGGTAGGATATCTGGGACACCGAGTGGCGTTCGGAGGTCTGGAGGCGAACCCACAAGCTCCGAAATCCCTGACCGATCTGCCATTCCCCGGGTTACTTCGATCCATGGACTCGTTCCTGGTTAGTTTGAATTACTACGGTCGGTTTATTGAAGGCTACGCTATCTACGTCTCAATGCTATATGAACTACGCGAGGTGGAGTTCGCAGAACTGGGGAACGACCGGATCTGAGGAAGATCATGGACCAGAACGACCCGATTGCTCGAGATCACGACACACCTGAGCCGCAGCTGGTGGGACCATTAGACGAGAGGTGGATCAGGGCACATAAAGCCTTCAGCACCCTAAAATCCGAGAGCGCGACGACCCCAATTTTACCGCCACTTCGACGAGACGAGAACGCCGGTAGTTATCGTATATGCCAGCGATTGGGCGATATCCGCTTCGTTGACGCAAGAACACGACGGGATCTACCATCCGGTTGCGTTTGCCAGGCGCACCTTGAAGACGAATGAGTTGAATTACAATGTGACCGAAACCGAGGTGTTGGCATTGCTGAGGATCTTGGATCTCTACTACAATGTACTAGTAGGAGGCAAGATCCGGACCCTAACGAGGCATTTCACGTTAGCCTGGCTGTTCAAGTCGACAGGATTACAGGGTTGCCTAGGGCAATGGTCAGCCCTCCTGGCCTCGTGGACTCTTGAGATCACGGAGTTCACCAAGGGCGAAGACGAGATACTGGGGGCGATCGCTGCCAGCATCACGCCGAGGGCGAAGGTGGACGATGCTCTGACCGAGATTGCTCCCCGGAAGGAACCTAAACGCCGGATTCAAGCGCCGATACCCACCGTAGATCGAGAAGAGGTCAGGTTTGACGGATCCGCTCGAGTGAAACGAGGCGGGGGCGCGTTCAGCGCGATCGTGTGGAGTCTCCCCGCATGGGAGGTGGTCAAAGCAAGATCGGACTATCCCGAGAGTCTCACCGTGAACGAGGCATAATATAACTGCCTGATCCGGGGACTCGACATGCTAGAGAACCTAGATCGCAAGCGCCTAGTGATCTGCGGTGATTCCAACTTGGTGGTCCGACAGTTACGGGGCGAGATCGACTGCAAAGCACCCGGGCTGACGTTATTGAAGCGAAAGGCCCTCGATCACTTGAGGAAATGGAGCGATCATGAACTTGTGCATGTGAAAAGAGACTGGAATGGGAGCGCCGATAGTCTAGCGAGCGTTGCTTTGCAACGACAAGGCGGGATCGATGTCCAGAGAGGGCCCTCGTAGTGGGCCTAGTGCTCACTACCTAGCTTACACGTATGCGCACGTGT